CGTATGGTGGGGATGGCAGCTCAGTGCCCCTATGGTCATTATGTTTTTGCCACACACATTAAATAGGACAATACTCTGAGCATGCGCATTGTAGTTTGTACAGTCACCATTCACTTAGACAGTGAGAGGGAGGGGCAGGATCGGGTTTTGTCCCACATGGCTCTAAACAACTCAATAGGCACACACTGTAGACACAAATTAGAAGAACACAGACTAAAACAGCAATGAGACGAATCAGATGATTAAACATGATCTTAAAATATATTTTATAATATTATTTTTTTTTTTGCATTTTTTTGTAATCATTATTTTTAATACTTTCTGCTGACACTATGTGGGGCTGACCAGTCACTACTGCATGTTTGACATAATTCAGTTCAGACGCTGGCCTACGTATCTGTCCTCCTCTCTTCTCAAAAATCTTCAGAAGTTTGTCAGATAGCACATCCAGCTGAGAGAGAAATCTTGATTGGAGGGGCAGGGTTGTTATACGTTTAAACTCCGCATTTATCAAAGAAAACAAAATATCAGTCATAAAAATCATCAAATAATTTCATTTTCTAATGATGTTATGATTGTAGTTGTGTGCTAAATGTATTTACAAAATCACATACCAGGCATATCTTGCCTCAAAACGCTGCAGAGAAACTAGTCCATGCATTTGTTACTTCAAGGCTAGCTTATTGTAACTCTTTATTATCAGGGTGTACCAAGAAGTCAGTTAAGTTGCTTCAGCTGATTCAAAATGTATTGACCAGAGCACGGAAAAGGGACCACATTACTCCTGTTTTGGCTCCCTGTAGAACACAAGATAGAATTTAAAATTATTCTTCTCGCCTACAAAGCCCTTAATGGGCAGGCGCCATCTTTATCTTAAAGAGTTCATTATACCCTACTGTCCCACCAGGGCATTGTGTTCCAAGAATGCAGGGTTTTTGGTTGTTCCTAGCAGAAATCAAATGCAGTCGAATGCACAAGTCCTGCAATAAATCCCTTCCTTCATGGAGGGTGATCATACTTTTGTTAAAACTCTGTGAGAGGTCTTTTTACAAAAGCTCTTTTTGGAGGATGGAATCTGTGGTGCTGTTGAATGGTGTTGTGATATAGTGAGAATAACTTTTTATATCAAGTACGAACAACCAGGTTAGACTACATTACATTTAATTTACGTTTTTTTCCAAAGCGACTTATAGTAATAAGTATTACTGTAATGTAAGACTACATATAAGAAACACCCTTATAGCCATTTCAACAAACAAAACATTATCCCTTTTGTGAAGGAGGATTTATCGCAGAATGTTTGGCTTTTGCCTCTCACTTTCTGAATAACTGTTGCCAAATAAATCAGAAAATGTGTATATCCCTGCAATGTTTGCAGTATGTAAATGTTATGAATAAATATTCAGAAATGTTCAGACTAATACCAGTTTTCAATTAGTTAAAGATCAAGTTTAAGTTAGTCAAATAAATCACACAAAACATTTGAATACTCACCATTTACTACAGAGCCTTTGGAACAATGTTCAAAGCAAGGCTGAGGTCAATCTTCTCCACACCAATTACCTATCAAAGAAAAACACATTTGAAATTATTTCATTATTCACACACAAATAAAACAAAAATGTTCTGCTCCTTAAAGGCGACATTTACCATAATGATGTACCTTTAGGTTAATATGAACCGACTTCAGCCAAGATGGGCGCCTCCAGTGTAAAAAGCTACAGTATACTAATGCAATGAGTACAACTTTGTACGGAGCCATACACATCAGCGTTGCAAGCTCATTTTTATTGGTTTCAATGGAGACGTGCACTGACTGCCATTGTCAAGGTCTTTTTTTCTGGCCTTCAACTAGCGCGCACCGCTCGTCATGTGACGAGGAACAACCAATCACAACCGAGAAACATCTCAACTTCCGTAAACACAAGTGCAGCAAATATGGAAGATACATTCATTTCACAGCGGTGATCGTAACCCTTACTTTAAGATCATGTCCCCCATATTCATGGAATGTGCACCACTGCTAAAAAACACCAATCATTAATATCCTCCACTGTGCATTTACGGTATTTACATGAACACAGAGCGGATCAAAGCAGATACATATACACTTTTTTTTAGAGAAAACACTGCGGTCCCACAGACAGTATTGTAATATATCTTTAACAATCAACACCTTAAATGGGTAAAGATGGTCGCTTAACGTAAGGTAGGCTACAACCTGCCTCACCGCCCCAAGAGTAGACATGCAATTTAAAAAATAATTTCCATGTAAAAAAAGTCACAGTTTGTCGTAAAACTGTTGAAATATAAGACTATGATCCGCAACTAGAAAGACTACAAATCCCAGAGTCGCGTAAGTGATGTCGTAACTGATGTCACAGTTGTTTTCCTCCGCTAAATATAAGAGATAGCTAAGATAAGATAACTTTAACAAGATGCCTGTGTGCTTAGTACCAGGTTGTTATCATACCAGCAATGGGTCTTGCTCGTTCTTTCGCTTCAAGTGGCTGGATCAAGTTAGCTACCCTAGCAAGCACGTTAGTTAGCATTACAGCCTTAGCCTTGTCATTTGTATTAGCCTTAACATGAAGTAACATTAAGTAAGCCAAAATGTTAAACAGTAAGAGTAGTAGTCATATTTCGTGAACCCTTTGAATAGAACTAAATAGATCATTCTATAATACACCATTTAAGCCGGGGGAGAAACGCTAACGTTACATTAGCATCGGCGATCTGTTCTACTTCTGCTATCTGCACAAATGGTTGACATTAAACATTAAAAAGATCAGGCAGTTTAGAGAGAATCAAAGGAAGGCAGGCAGGCAGCTTTGCATGACATTCTTCTGGACGTGTTTCATTGTGGTGATAGTGAGGGTAGTCAATCCCTTGTTTAGCAAGACAGTAGTGACGGCCATCTTTGTGACGTGTGTTGTTCTGCAAGACCAGAGATGTAGTTCATTCAGCGTTTCACACAAACAAATGTGTTACTTCACAGTTTTACGACACTTTTTTTTTTTTTACTGGCAAAATTATCTTTTAAATGGACAAACATCATATGTGTAATTCGTGGCACAATTCAAACGGGATCGAAAGATAATCTTTCTCTCTCCATTGACTTCAATACATAATTTTTCCGAAATAAGGTCCCATGGAGGAAAGGGAGGGACTTCGCCTCTCTATAGAACGTACACCCCTCAAGATTAAAATAGTTCTACATGATTGATTGATGTTTCGATGAGAAACATGAATACATTCTGTCTCATACATTAACTGCATATTTGCAAATTGAACAACCCCCACTTTCCCCTTGTTTTCAGTTGCAGTAACGTCACGGACTGATACGGAAGATGTAGTACCGCAGTTTGGCCACTACGAATATTCCCATAGACTGTATATATAAAGATATTTTCCTCAGAGTCCGGTGCACTTCCTGGGGCTTGGAAACAACGTGATAGAGAACAGGAGCAGAGATTAACGGAGAAAAGACTCACATATAAAGACGGAGAAAAGTAAGGATACATTTAAGTGTTAGCACCCCCCGAAGAGGCAGAAGCTCTTACGTTGATATTGGAGACTTCAATAAATTAATATCATCAGTCAAGTCTTCGACCATTATTCGGAGGGAAATGCTACATGATGTGTGTGTGTTTGTGCACTGCTCAGCTCCGCTCTGTGTGTGTGTTCGGTGTATGTGTGTGTCCGACACCGGCATCAAATTACCATGAACAGTAATTTACAGACATCTGGCTAACTCCATATGTGTATTCCCAAATGAAAGAACTTCGTTTAATCTTAATCTCGATGTAGTGCTAAATGCTGTCGGAGTGCACCGGAACGAACGCCACTATCATAATATCTTCTGAAAACAAATGCCCACAAACATATACACATACACACACACACGCCCTGCTAATAATCGGGCAGTTCGATGTGTCTCACCATGAGAAAGTATATTGTGCGCACAGGATACTTTGTTTTATTAACATGAACTTTAGGGGCTCCGTAGAGGTCTGATACTTAAACGTATCTTTTCGACCCTAGCAGCCTTTAGACACAACATTTAGCCTAGTAAGTTAGAAAAGCAATCGCTCAATAGGTAAACTTTTTGATTAAAAACTAAGAGGAATACACAAGAATGTATCTGTAATATCGTAATCAGTGAAATGCCAACAGATTACATACAAAACATATGATCCTGGGGACAATGCACACAACTCGACTCTCAGAAAACAAACTTTTAAAATATATAATAACTTTATTTGGATGTACTGTATACGTTCCTTCATATATAGATCCATTACTGTTAGAAAAATATTGGTCTTCAATATCAGGATACATGTATTTATTATCCTTGCAAGAATGGAAGTAGTCATCACACACAGGGCTGCGTGGGACAAGTAGTTCTCGAGTAGAGTCCTTGATATGCTTATCAATTATAAGAGAGGGTGTGACAGTCAACAAGATGGAAGAATACTCATTCAAAGCAGTATTCTGACATTAGTTCAGATTAGCTAAGGCCTGCGTAAGCAATAAACAGGACAGTCATATGTCTCTCTAGGGGCTGTGTCATCATGCCAATCTTAGGAACATAGCTATCATAACTTCAACACAGTGTCTCATAAGCGGCATCCATGTAGTCAGACATCCGGCTACGCACACAGCTACATAGGGCCTCTGTTATCATGTGCTACTCTGATATCAGAAGAGAACATTCAGTTTTCTCCCAACAATTACTTTTAGTTTCACTTGAACACAAAGGTTGTTTGCGCAATTATGCAATATCCTGCAAGGTAACAAAGAAAACACAAGTAGGTCACATATCACAAAGCTTCAGTTCTGCTTCAGAAACTCCACTAGTTTGCAAGAAAGCAACTTATGTAGAAGTCAAAGTTAAGAATAAGACACATATAACTTTACACGTATGTAAGAATACATATATGAATATTAATATTATAATGAGAAACAAGTGGACTGACAGTGTCTCACATTGTATAGTAATAGATGTATATTAAAAAGTGCAGTTTGAGTTGTTACAGTGGAATATTTGTGGACTTTATATTGATTTGCCTCTGGGGAAAAAGTCTTCCTCTCATAGGAGCTCTGCGGTTGAACCGTATCCATGATGGGAGCAGAGGTAGATACACCGCAACTCTTTCTAGATGTCTCACTTGTTTTTTAAGTAAGGCTGGACCATGTGTACGGATACTAACTTGTTCATTTACTCTTCTATCCTGCCTTATATATGTCCTATATTACATTATATGTCTACTGTTTTATTCAAAACTAATCAAATGTTTAATCATAAAAGTTCCTTTGTATGCATTTCCCACAGTGGCCTCCTTCAGGGTGCCTGGGGTAGTTGAGCCAGGTCGTAGAAAGAGTCATTTCCGGCACTTTCAGATTGATTTGTCTGTGATTGCCCAGTGGGTTTCATTTGGTCTTTGGGTAGTTGAGCAACAGAATACAGCACGTTGGCTCTGCTCTCTGCACACGCCCCCCTTGAATCCGTCTCACACCGAGCAGCTGCTGATCCGATATCCTGGAGGAAGGAATTATTAGCATAGAGGCTGTCCGGGTCAGTCGCTTCTTCATGTCTGATTTCATCATATTCAGCTTCCTTGAATTAGAAACAGGGAGAAATAAACAGTAAAACAGAGATCTGAAGTCAGTAAATCTGATTTGACCACATTCTTAACACCGCTACAGTTGGTTGTTCACATAACAAATACCCAGTACAAGTCTGATCTCTTCAGGAGGTCATTCCTGAAATCCAGAAACAATCAAGGAAAGCAAAGCAACACTAACTACACTATGGCAATGAACCCCATTATTGTATGTTGTGATGGACATTTACAATATTGGCTACACAAACATGTCTTGAAATGACATATCATTTTTGCATTTGCATGCTTAAAACAGAGCAGGTCAACTAATTGTTTCCACCTTACTTTGTATGTTTGAATGTTATACAGAATGCTGATCAAGACAAGTCCATAAAATGATTTCCTCAGACTGCTGATTGTGTGTGACCGGAGAATACAGCTTCTAGCTTTGTGAAAGATTGATGATACCAGTATAATCCTAACAACAGCCAATGATACGTAAAATAATATAAATACTGTTATAATACTAAAATAATTATCCTAATGTAAAAAAGATTAGGAAGGACATAAAAATGTAACGATACATATTCAACTTATTTTCTATATTAATTTTCTACTTTTCCTAAAGTCGTTACATTTTTATTTAGGGCAGTTCTTTTGATAGATCTCCAGTCATTTAATGTTTGATCCAGTTGCTTTAAGCCACTCAATGATGCAGCCTGATTTCCTGTCTGACTTGAATGAAGTGGTTGCTAAAGTCAGCTGGGGTGAACAGATGTGGGCTTTAAGTGTCAGACCTCACAGTTTAAAACCGCTGTCTGGTTTAAACTCCTACGCTTGCCTCAAAAGGTTCATAAAGAGAACCTTGCAGAACACATTTTGTCCACCAGCAGCTTCTGTATTACTACACTTTCCCTACAGTAGGGAAAGAAAAGGGAAGTGTTGTTTTGTACCAAGGATCTTTGTCTTTTAATGAGACCTGATGTTCTAGGTGTTCTTTGTGTTAGTAATGCTGAGCTCAGTAACGAAAAAGGTGTCCTAAACGGCATTAAAGTAAGAAATATGAAATGAATGCCAAAGGTGAAACAGAAACGCCCGAGCCTCACACAGGGGAATGTTTCTGTCGTAAAGCAAACTGAAACCATCTGCCCTCCAACTCTCACCTCTCGTGCGTCTTCCTGTGGCATTACAGCTGTTGAAACAACTTCTGCAAACACATAGGATAACATTTGTTAATATGTCTTGTGGAAGCTTTACTGGTGCATTCACATATACACAATGTGTGTTGGTGTGTGGGTCTTACTCCGTTGTTTCATCATCTTCTTGCTCATAAACTTCAGTAACACCATCAGTAAGGTTATTAAGAGAATGACACCTATGATCAAATATGGTATGCTCCCTGAACAAACACAGAGAAAGAGGAAGTTAATGAGAGAAGCTTGATCACACTTGGACATACTGATCTTTATATATATTATATATATAGACAATACATTCATTTTTATATATTTAGGACATGTAAAAGAAATGTCAAAAGAACAGAACATGTTGTATTCAAAGGATCCTCACTAAGGTGGAATGCATGAGGTTCACTAATTGAACATTGTTTTATCATCGTATCAAGATATTGGGTCTACCATTATATCATTCTTTCACATTTGGAAAGCAGAGAGGAAATTAATGGGACAAATATGTATATTTTCACTCATCAAACAAGCGTTATTTTCATTATGTCATATTCACCACCTTGATGTACTGGACCGATTATTTTAAATAAAAATTGCACTTCCAATTAACATTAAAATCTCCATATACACGTAAAAGGTATATGTATTTGTGTAAGTTCAAATAAGTGCATTGTGTTACCGGCTTCTTGTGTTGCTGGTGGAGTAGTTGTCGTAGTGGTCGTGTTCGATGCAGACACATCGGTGATATTATCTGAGCTGTTTGAAGGCAGAGTGGAGCTGTTTGACACTGCTGGTGGCAGAGTTGTAAATGTGTCCACTGTTTCTGGAGTTCTCTTGGGACCGTAAGACGCAGCTGAAAATGATTACACAAAGTACATTCATTTAGCAACTATTTGAACAGTTATTACTTTTGATCAAGGATTGATTTTAAACTAAAGAGCATCAACTTACCATCTGTAACTTTAAGAACCACCTTTATCCATGGATCAGGACCAATCCTCTTCACTCCACAGTAATATATGTTAGTGTCAGACTTTTTCAGATTAGTGAAGGTCACAGATAAATCATTTCCTCTGTTTAATATTTGCATTCTGTTTCCTTGTGTAGTCTTTCCAGATGCTGCTTTGATGATGATGTGTTTGCGTTCGGTGCATGGACTTCTACAAAAGTACTTATCATTAAATCTTGCATCAAGCACAGTGTTCCAGTCTGAGCATTTGAACGTCACTCTTTCCCCAACACAGCCTCTTATGCTGAGAATCTTCATCTCCACAAAACTCAGAGCTACAAGTGGAAATAAAGGAAACATTAAACATGTTGTATTATTGGTATTTAAGTGTCAATGCTCAAATGAAGTCAAATGTGTACATTATTTATCACATTGATTGAATTAACTATTTGTATCGACAACGTTTAACTTTTTTAAAGAGAACTACTCAATTATTTATTTAGCAAATAAACAAAAAAGCATACAAATAAAAAATGAACTCACCAGAAAGAAGACAAGAGTAGGCAAAGATGTTTATCATGGTGAAAATGAAGAACATAAAGACACGTTAATAATCAGGTCAGGCGACCACAGTCCGTAGAGTATTTCAAAGCATTTCCCTTCCTCTAAACCTTAGAGCTCCACACCTTTCTCACACACACACACACACACACACACACACACACACACACACACACACACACACACACACACACACACACACACACACACACACACACACACACACACACACACACACACACACACACACACACACACACACACACACACACACACACACACACACACACACACACACACACACACACACACACACACACACACACACACACACACACACACACACACACACACAGTGTAAGACTGTGTTGGTGTATAGGGAAGTATAACTCAGGAAACTATTATTCATTTAGAATTCGAACAGATAGAACAGCAAGTGCATAAAGTACTAAAGATTGGGGGTGGAGGGCGGGACTTGTCACTTCAAAACCACGGTGTGATCTAGACCAGTGGTTCCCAAACGGTGTGCCGCGGCACACTGGTGTGCCGTGAGGCAAGTCCGGGTGTGCCGTGGGATTTTGTGACAACCATACATTATTATTGCAATATACAACTACACAAAAATAATATTTTTTTTATTTACTATATCAGTACTTTGTAGGTTTATATGTACGTAATCTGCGCGACTTGCGCGTCCACATCTTCACGTGCAGTGCTGCATAAACATGGCTGAGTCAGCGATAACTTTCGAGGGGTGGAGGTATGCCCATTATTTTGAGTTCGTCCGAAGAATAGACAGGAATGTGACGGTGAGGTGCAAACTGTGTCCAGGCCAGAAGCTGTTATCCACTGCTGTAAACACCACGTGGTCAAACCTCAACACACACCTGCAAAGAACACATGCTAAGGTGAAGCTACCGCACACGCTATTTGTTGTTTGTTTATATCAAGTCGTCTGTTCTTCTTCTCTGTCTTCCAGTTGTTGCCTGTTTTGAATGACAAATACACACTACCGCCGCCTGCTGGTAAGGAAAGTTATTGCCACTCAGGCATGTGCAAGTTCGTACGTGCTCAGCGAGTAAAGTAACGAGTTACTTTATGTAGATAGTAACGAAGTAGTGTAATATATTACTTTTTTTTAAAGTAATATGTAATATATTAAAAAAAAGTAGTAACGACCCCATCTCTGGAGTTGGCGTTCTCTACTCTGATTTACATGAAGAACAACAGGAGGTCACGGGACTCACGGCTCTCTGTTGAACAGGACTTGCGAGTGGTCCTCTCCTCAGTGCCACCAAGGATTACAAAATTCTGCGCGCCCCGACAGGCACATGTATCTCATTGATTTGTAAGTCGGCAACAATATTTACAATAGCACATGTTTCAATGCTGATTGCTGAAATGTTAATTGTGTGACCTGTCTGGTTTAAATGAGTGTGTTGCTGCTTTGATGAAACCTAATTTGATAAAGTTTCAAATTAATTTCTGAAATATTTCGTTAATAAATATTTCATGAGTAATATAGTTGTCTTTGTCACATTTTATTTGGCATTAGTAAATAATTATGCATATTTACAGATATTTTACATGATATGAGTGATAACACGTGTTATAAGGGCTATTTTGCACAATAGGTGTGCCTTGAGATTTTTACTTGTCCTTTGGTGTGCCTTGGGCACAAAAAGTTTGGGAACCACTGATCTAGACTCTGAAGCCTGTCAACATGTCCAGATGAACTCACACACGCTTCAGTGTCTAACACCATCTCTTTTTTATAAAGTTAAAAAAGAGAAAAGGTTTTGAACAAATACACAAGTGATTTAAAATGAATCTAACAACTTGAGAAAACAAATTCCTAACCCCATGCCTAACTCTAACCAGAAACACAACAAGATATCGTTTCTTAATTTCTAAAATACACTTTGAGGGGGCCCTCACTATGGGCTGAGCCCCCTCAATGTGACAGGTTTAAATCACGTTTGACCAAATAGCATAGCTTTGCAATGCAAGTGTTGTGCACCGACAGAAATGTTGAGAGAGTCTCATTTTATGATGTTTTATGGTTGTATTGTTTTCCACTTCCTGTATTGTTTTGTCACTCACCATTTACCTGTCATTCCAGGCTCCCTGATCATCTACCTCTTGTGTCTCCCGCGCTCATCAGCACCAGCCCCGCCCCTGATTGTTCCCACCTGTGTCTTGTTATCCTGTGTTTAAATTCCCCAGTCTCCCATGTGTTCTTGGTCAGTTCGTCTTGTCTTATGCCTCAGACAGATCTATGCTCTCCAGTGAATGCCTATGCTCTCATTGATAACGAGATGTTTTTGTTCCTCACTACGTGAGCGATTTTCTTTTGTAGTCATTTTTGTCATCTCATCTAGACGCAGTGGTTCTCAAACTTTTTCATACCAAGGACCACTTAACCAATAAAAAACACTCGCGGACCACCTTACTCCACAAATATCCAAAATCACATCGCTTTTCTAGAACAAATTACAAATTGCCTGAAAATGATACAAGCAAGTGGCAACATGTGTGACGAAGGTGTTGCGCTGGGCTATATCATGCAATTGAAAGTGAAACTTAAGCTCGCTCCTTTGCGGAGATATTCCCGCGAGAGTGCGGAAAACTTAAATGTATTTATCTATTTTAAATGTGAAATTTTACCAATATACTCACGGAAAACTAGGGGGCGCTCACGGACCACCAGTGGTCCGCGGACCACACTTTGAGAAGCACTGATAGATTAGATTGTGCTTTTCCTGTTCATATTTGGAAAATAAAGTATCTTACTAATACTTTACCTCTGTCTCCTGGGTCGTGCATTTGGGTCCTATACCCTGAGTTTCTGAGTTCGTAACAGCAAGTGCATAACAAATAACCATAAAGGTGTGTTGCTTAAACAAATCTGAATCTATGAGCCATTGCTTGTGTCCACCACAACTGACTTCAGAGCAGCATTTTAGGGAGTCTCAAAATTATGTTTGATTGGAAACTAGAAAAAAAGAAATGTGTACAAAAAAGATCAAAGCTCTGTGGAGTAATGTGATGGACACACGTCTCACTCTGCGTGAAAATACGATCTGCTGTATTTTATAGGATAAGCAAACAATGATATACAAGAAAAAACTAATATAATTCAATCAGGAGAGACGGTTTTGATGTAAGAATACATATTTATTGCAAAGATACGCAAATGAATGTAATGGTGATTTTGGCGATTAGGCCCCGTTGTGCAGGAAGTATCATTCGGGAGGGTTGAACCGATCAAATGAAACCCCCCTGGGGTCTAGACCCTGGTGGTGGTGAATAGATAGTTGGGTCGGTCTGAAGGGGAGTGGCTTAGCTTGACCCTGGTGGTGGTGAAGGGATAGTTGGGTTCGCTCTGAAGGGGAGGGGCTTAGCTTGACCCTGGTGGTGGTGAATGGATAGTTGGGTTCGGTCTGAAGGGGAGGAGCTTAGTTTGACCCTGGTGGTGGTGAATAGATAGTTGGGTCGGTCTGAAGGGGAGGGGCTTAGCTTGACCCTGGTGGTGGTGAATAGATAGTTGGGTCGGTCTGAAGGGGAGGGGCTTAGCTTGACCCTGGTGGTGCTGAATAGATAATTGGGTCGGTCTGAAGGGGAGGGGCTTAGCTTGACCCTGGTGGTGCTGAATAGATAATTGGGTCGGTCTGAAGGGGAGGGGCTTAGCTTGACCCTGGTGGTGGTGAATGGATAGTTGGGTTCGGTCTGAAGGGGAGTGGCTTAGCTTGACCCTGGTGGTGGTGAATGGATAGTTGGGTTCGGTCTGAAGGGGAGGAGCTTAGTTTGACCCTGGTGGTGGTGAATAGATAGTTGGGTCGGTCTGAAGGGGAGGGGCTTAGCTTGACCCTGGTGGTGCTGAATAGATAATTGGGTCGGTCTGAAGGGGAGGGGCTTAGCTTGACCCTGGTGGTGGTGAATGGATAGTTGGGTTCGCTCTGAAGGGGAGGGGCTTAGCTTGACCCTGGTGGTGGTGAATGGATAGTTGGGGTCGGTCTGAAGGGGAGTGGCTTAGCTTGACCCTGGTGGTGGTGAATGGATAGTTGGGTTCGGTCTGAAGGGGAGGGGCTTAGCTTGACCCTGGTGGTGGTGAATGGATAGTTGGGTCGGTCTGAAGGGGAGTGGCTTAGCTTGACCCTGGTGGTGGTGAATGGATAGTTGGGTTCGGTCTGAAGGGGAGTGGCTTAGTTTGACCCTTGTGGTGGTGAATGGATAGTTGGGTCGGTCTGAAGGGGAGGGGCTTAGATTGACCCTGGTGGTGGTGAATGGATAGTTGGGTTTGGTCTGAAGGGGAGGGGCTTAGCTTGACCCTGGTGGTGGTGAATGGATAGTTGAGTTTCGTCTGAAGAGGAGGGGCTTAGCTTGACCCTGGTGGTGGTGAATGGATAGTTGGAGTCGGTCTGAAGGGGAGGGGCTTAGCTTGACCCTGGTGGTGGTGAATGGATAGTTGGGTTCGGTCTGAAGGGGAGGGGCTTAGCTAGCTTGAACCTGGATTCAGAGGGACAGGAGGTGAAAAGGGGTGGATGAGGGTTGCATGGAGTCACCTGAAATGACAGCTGTCAGAGGGGAGAGCAGATTTAAAAGGTTTGGCAGAGCGCTATGATAGGCTTAGAGCGAAGTGATTGGTTAAGCTGGAGAGTGACGCCCCGATCACTTATTGAGAGGAGAGAGAGTAGTTACGTAGGAATAGTGAATAGACGGTCTTCCTGGTTGAACTTACGCTGAGCTTCATTTCACAGACAATGCAAACTGAATTATTCTCTTGATGTCAAGTCTCTTTGTAAAAATAACTCCAATTCAAAAAGATAAAAAGCTTGAGGACGGAGGTGAAATGTTTGCATTTATCTCACATATAATAAAGATTGAATCATTATTTTCTGCTGCAGTGGTCGTCTAAAGTTGTGTGGAGAGCAGACCCCTCTGTGAGAGAGCTGTACACTTGGTCTTCATCCATTGTCAACGGGTGGAGGGATTGGTAGACTTCATCAGGCCGTGCACTCTGTGGGAACATAACATGGATGACTTGTGTTGAGAGATGGTAACCATGTTAAACAGAGGAAAAGAACATGTGTTTCTTCCAGATGTAAATGAAACTGGAAAACAGCGCATTGCTGCAACACATCTTCAGAGAGCTGACTCCAACTTGCAAAGAGACTTTAAATAGAAGTAAGGCTAGTAGCTTCTAAGCAAAGTGGAACTGAGAAGTAACGTAATGACCCAAAGCATGATATGGTTATGATACTTTATAAAGCAGATGCAACAAGTAGCTCAAGTGTCAATGAACACGTGTTTTGTCTTTCCTCTCTGCAAATTCTCGGTATCATGAATACAAGTACTACAACATTATTTAAAAAAGTCAATGTTTTCTGCTCAGACTTTAAAATGTAACTCTCCTTGTATTGTGAAACCATGTTTCTTTTAGCCAGAATAAGATTTGGTATAGAGATACACACTGAAAAACTATAATGCTGACTTTATTCAATTGTATTATTTCAACAGATTTCACACAACTGTACGAGGTTAGTTGAAAGCAATCATATTTGTTGTAGTATTTGCAGTTTTCACAAATATGTATCGATGTCTCCTGTTGCAGCCAAGTAAGCAAATTCATTCAAACAAAATACAATATTTTATATTTACGTTATTATTTGGGATTTTTTTGTGTTACTTGATCCAGAGATCAAGAAGTTCTTAACAGGATGAAAAAACCAGCTGAGGAAGTATTTAAGCATGTGTGGAAGATCCAACAGAAACAGCCATGAACATATTTAATGATTCACAATGGCATGAACTCACATTGTATATGTCCTCGTGTGGGGAGCTGACATCAAGGCCTCCTGGGAAAAATGCATTCGTTTATAAACCTGACCAAAATAATGATCATTTGATGTTAAGTAATTCTGTGTTTACAGAACAGCGGCTTTCCTGGATACGTGCTTACACTTACTGCAGTGCATCCTATGTTCTTATATTTAATGTATATTGTCCGGTATTTAGAGGTCTACATATTATTGTTCTTATACTATGAACCAGCATTGAAGGCAGTCGGTTTGTGTGTCTTACTCCGTCCTCTCTTCATCAGCTTCCTGGTAAGCAGCAGCACGACCATCACTAAGGGCGAATGTAAAAATAAGACCAGCAATCAAATATGGTACACTTCCTGCCAAAGAGAGGAAAGGAGGGATTAAGAGATTGATCAAATGCAGTTCACTCCTCACAATCACTATGGTCCATGTAATGAATAATACTATAACATCATTTCACTGATAAGGCATCGAGACTTAAGGGCAAGCACCACGTTAGAAAAGAGAGACTTTAAATGGATGGGTTTCTGAACAGCTCGAGCATCATTCAAACATTGTATTGAAAATATTATGTATACACTCAGCATTACAATTTGATCAAATGTGCACAAGTGCACTTCTCACCGGCTGCTTGTGTTGCTGGTGCAGAAGGTGTCGGAGTATTCAGGGTCGTGTTCGATGCAGACACATCAGTGATATTATCTGAGGCTGTTTGAAGGCAGAGTGGAGCTGTTTGACACTGCTGGTGGCAGAGTTGTAAATGTGTCCACTGTTTCTGGAGTGGGACCGTAAGACGCAGCTGAAAATGATAGACACAAAGTACATTCATTTAGCAACTATTTGAACAGTTATTACTTTTTATCAAGGATTGATTTTAAACTAAAGAGCATCAACTTACCATCTGTAACTTTAAGAACCACCTTTATCCATGGATCAGGACCAATCCTCTTCACTCTACAGTAATATGTGTCAGCGTCAGACTTTTTCAGATTAGTGAAGGTCACAAATAAATTATTTCCTCTGTTAAATATTTGAATTCTGTTTCCTTGTGTAGTCTTTCCAGATGCTGCTTTGATGATGATGTGTTTGCGTTCGGTGCATGGACGTCTACAAAAGTACTTATCATAAGATCTTGCATCAAGCACAGTGTTCCAGTCTGAGCATTTGAACGTCACTCTTTCCCCAACACAGCCTCTTATGCTGAGAATCTTCATCTCCACAAAACTCAGAGCTACAAGTGGAAATAAAGGAAACATTAAACATGTTGTATTATTGGTATTTAAGTGTCAATGCTCAAATGAAGTCAAATGTGTACATTATTTATCACATTGATTGAATTAACTATTTGTATCGACAACGTTTAACTTTTTTAAAGAGAACTACTCAATTATTTATTTAGCAAATAAACAAAAAAGCATACAAATAAAAAATGAACTCACCAGAAAGAAGACAAGAGTAGGCAAAGATGTTTATCATGGTGAAAATGAAGAACATAAAGACACGTTAATAATCAGGTCAGGCGACCACAGTCCGTAGAGTATTTCAAAGCATTTCCCTTCCTCTAAACCTTAGAGCTCCACCCTTTCTCTCACACACACACACACACACACACACACACACACACACACACACACACACACCACACACACACACACACACACACACACACACACACACACCACACACACACACACACACACACACACACACACACACACACACACACACACACACACACACACACACACACACACACACACACACACACACACACACACACACACACACACACAGTGTAAGACTGTGTTGGTGTATAGGGAAGTATAACTCAGGAAACTATTATTCATTTAGAATTCGAACAGATAGAACAGCAAGTGCATAAAGTACTAAAGATTGGGGGTGGAGGGCGGGACTTGTCACTTCAAAACCACGGTGTGATCTAGACCAGTGGTTCCCAAACGGTGTGCCGCGGCACACTGGTGTGCCGTGAGGCAAGTCCGGGTGTGCCGTGGGATTTTGTGACAACCATACATTATTATTGCAATATACAACTACACAAAAATAATATTTTTTTATTTACTATATCAGTACTTTGTAGGTTTATATGTACGTAATCTGCGCGACTTGCGCGTCCACATCTTCACGTGCAGTGCTGCATAAACATGGCTGAGTCAGCGATAACTTTCGAGGGGTGGAGGTATGCCCATTATTTGAGTTCGTCCGAAGAATAGACAGGAATGTGACGGTGAGGTGCAAACTGTGTCCAGGCCAGAAGCTGTGTATCCACTGCTGTAAACACCACGTGGTCAAACCTCAACACACACCTGCAAAGAACACATGCTAAGGTGAAGCTACCGCACACGCTATTTGTTGTTTGTTTATATCAAGTCGTCTGTTCTTCTTCTCTGTCTTCCAGTTGTTGCCTGTTTTGAATGACAAATACACACTACCGCCGCCTGCTGGTAAGGAAAGTTATTGCCACTCAGGCATGTGCAAGTTCGTACGTGCTCAGCGAGTAAAGTAACGAGTTACTTTATGTAGATAGTAACGAAGTAGTGTAATATATTACTTTTTTTTAAAGTAATATGTAATATATTAAAAAAAAAGTAGTAACGACCCCATCTCTGGAGTTGGCGTTCTCTACTCTGATTTACATGAAGAACAACAGGAGGTCACGGGACTCACGGCTCTCTGTTGAACAGGACTTGCGAGTGGTCCTCTCCTCAGTGCCACCAAGGATTACAAAATTCTGCGCGCCCCGACAGGCACATGTATCTCATTGATTTGTAAGTCGGCAACAATATTTACAATAGCACATGTTTCAATGCTGATTGCTGAAATGTTAATTGTGTGACCTGTCTGGTTTAAATGAGTGTGTTGCTGCTTTGATGAAACCTAATTTGATAAAGTTTCAAATTAATTTCTGAAATATTTCGTTAATAAATATTTCATGAGTAATATAGTTGTCTTTGTCACATTTTATTTGGCATTAGTAAATAAGTATGCATATTTACAGATATTTTACATGATATGAGTGATAACACGTGTTATAAGGGCTATTTTGCACAATAGGTGTGCCTTGAGATTTTTACTTGTCCTTTGGTGTGCCTTGGGCACAAAAAGTTTGGGAACCACTGATCTAGACTCTGAAGCCTGTCAACATGTCCAGATGAACTCACACACGCTTCAGTGTCTAACACCATCTCTTTTTTATAAAGTTAAAAAAGAGAAAAGGTTTTGAACAAATACACAAGTGATTTAAAATGAATCTAACAACTTGAGAAAACAAATTCCTAACCCCATGCCTAACTCTAACCAGAAACACAACAAGATATCGTTTCTTAATTTCTAAAATACACTTTGAGGGGGCCCTCACTATGGGCTGAGCCCCCTCAATGTGACAGGTTTAAATCACGTTTGACCAAATAGCATAGCTTTGCAATGCAAGTGTTGTGCACCGACAGAAATGTTGAGAGAGTCTCATTTTATGATGTTTTATGGTTGTATTGTTTTCCACTTCCTGTATTGTTTTGTCACTCACCATTTACCTGTCATTCCAGGCTCCCTGATCATCTACCTCTTGTGTCTCCCGCGCTCATCAGCACCAGCCCCGCCCCTGATTGTTCCCACCTGTGTCTTGTTATCCTGTGTTTAAATTCCCCAGTCTCCCATGTGTTCTTGGTCAGTTCGTCTTGTCTTATGCCTCAGACAGATCTATGCTCTCCAGTGAATGCCTATGCTCTCATTGATAACGAGATGTTTTTGTTCCTCACTACGTGAGCGATTTTCTTTTGTAGTCATTTTTGTCATCTCATCTAGACGCAGTGGTTCTCAAACTTTTTCATACCAAGGACCACTTAACCAATAAAAAACACTCGCGGACCACCTTACTCCACAAATATCCAAAATCACATCGCTTTTCTAGAACAAATTACAAATTGCCTGAAAATGATACAAGCAAGTGGCAACATGTGTGACGAAGGTGTTGCGCTGGGCTATATCATGCAATTGAAAGTGAAACTTAAGCTCGCTCCTTTGCGGAGATATTCCCGCGAGAGTGCGGAAAACTTAAATGTATTTATCTATTTTAAATGTGAAATTTTACCAATATACTCACGGAAAACTAGGGGGCGCTCACGGACCACCAGTGGTCCGCGGACCACACTTTGAGAAGCACTGATAGATTAGATTGTGCTTTTCCTGTTCATATTTGGAAAATAAAGTATCTTACTAATACTTTACCTCTGTCTCCTGGGTCGTGCATTTGGGTCCTATACCCTGAGTTTCTGAGTTCGTAACAGCAAGTGCATAACAAATAACCATAAAGGTGTGTTGCTTAAACAAATCTGAATCTATGAGCCATTGCTTGTGTCCACCACAACTGACTTCAGAGCAGCATTTTAGGGAGTCTCAAAATTATGTTTGATTGGAAACTAGAAAAAAAGAAATGTGTACAAAAAAGATCAAAGCTCTGTGGAGTAATGTGATGGACACACGTCTCACTCTGCGTGAAAATACGATCTGCTGTATTTTATAGGATAAGCAAACAATGATATACAAGAAAAAACTAATATAATTCAATCAGGAGAGACGGTTTTGATGTAAGAATACATATTTATTGCAAAGATACGCAAATGAATGTAATGGTGATTTTGGCGATTAGGGCCCCGTTGTGCAGGAAGTATCATTCGGGAGGGTTGAAACCGATCAAATGAAACCCCCCTGGGGTCTAGACCCTGGTGGTGGTGAATAGATAGTTGGGTCGGTCTGAAGGGGAGTGGCTTAGCTTGACCCTGGTGGTGGTGAAGGGATAGTTGGGTTCGCTCTGAAGGGGAGGGGCTTAGCTTGACCCTGGTGGTGGTGAATGGATAGTTGGGTTCGGTCTGAAGGGGAGGAGCTTAGTTTGACCCTGGTGGTGGTGAATAGATAGTTGGGTCGGTCTGAAGGGGAGGGGCTTAGCTTGACCCTGGTGGTGGTGAATAGATAGTTGGGGTCGGTCTGAAGGGGAGGGGCTTAGCTTGACCCTGGTGGTGCTGAATAGATAATTGGGTCGGTCTGAAGGGGAGGGGCTTAGCTTGACCCTGGTGGTGCTGAATAGATAATTGGGTCGGTCTGAAGGGGAGGGGCTTAGCTTGACCCTGGTGGTGGTGAATGGATAGTTGGGTTCGGTCTGAAGGGGAGTGGCTTAGCTTGACCCTGGTGGTGGTGAATGGATAGTTGGGTTCGGTCTGAAGGGGAGGAGCTTAGTTTGACCCTGGTGGTGGTGAATAGATAGTTGGGTCGGTCTGAAGGGGAGGGGCTTAGCTTGACCCTGGTGGTGCTGAATAGATAATTGGGTCGGTCTGAAGGGGAGGGGCTTAGCTTGACCCTGGTGGTGGTGAATGGATAGTTGGGTTCGCTCTGAAGGGGAGGGGCTTAGCTTGACCCTGGTGGTGGTGAATGGATAGTTTGGGTCGGTCTGAAGGGGAGGGGCTTAGCTTGACCCTGGTGGTGGTGAATGGATAGTTGGGTTCGGTCTGAAGGGGAGGGGCTTAGCTTGACCCTGGTGGTGGTGAATGGATAGTTGGGTCGGTCTGAAGGGGAGTGGCTTAGCTTGACCCTGGTGGTGGTGAATGGATAGTTGGGTTCGGTCTGAAGGGGAGTGGCTTAGTTTGACCCTTGTGGTGGTGAATGGATAGTTGGGTCGGTCTGAAGGGGAGGGGC